ATTGCATGTTAACCTGAAGGGTTTATGCTCAAAGCTTGACAAGCGTTCCTTTGAAAAGCTACTTTTCGTATTTCGCAGAGCTGATAATGTGGTATATGAAAAACCTGTTAGGCAGAAACCTATCGTTGGAAGTGAAGAAAATGAATTTGACATAATTGTTTTTTTTATAGAAAATCCAATATATCTACAAGTCATCGTAATACAGGGTGTCCCAGAAATAAGTGCAAATATTTTAACTGGTAGTATAGTTCAACCCCAGAAACACGCCTATGAGTTTTTTTTTGCGAAAAAAAAATGTTGAAAATTTAAAATTTTTCTTGACATTTTCGGGAAAATTTGAAAAAACTTTTTAGTGCCACTTGTTTATTCACCTGAGATTTCCCTACGGTGTATCTAAACCTTGCAGTGTTGCAACCTCCTATGTTATCCACATTCTACATAGTTCGGCGGAACATAGTTCTACGTTTATAAATTCATAGACAAATTTCTACTCAAAAAATTAGGAATGTTAAATTTAATCTTTTATCAGTGCTCATTATTAATAATTATAGAAAAACAACACATTAATTATTTTTAGTACTTACACTTTCAATGAAAACTTAACAAAAACCACGGAAAATTAACTAAAACATTACGTTTATGACGTTTACGAAAATCTTTGTTATGCTGCAAAATAACTTTATTTTGGAATAAATTTAATAAAATGATTCATATTATTCACAGTCAGGTCACAAAAAGGAATTCCTAAAATGTTTATCGTAATTTAGAATTCAATTCAAGAAATTTAGAAAACAGCCCAACGAATAATCGATTCATTTTTGTTTTGTTTGTTTTCTTTCATGTTTCTCTGTTTTATTTGAACCAATGTTTTACAAAACACCTTGAAAAGCGCACATTACTTTGAATACTTTTCTGAATGAATAAATGTTAATTTTGTTTTTTCGCTATTTTTTCGATGTATTTCGACAATTCCATCGACTGCCTAACCGTCAGCCAAGAACTGCCGCGTGTGAACTGGTAACTGGTCCTTTGAGTCGCCGGTCGCCGCGCCGTCGTGGCGGGCTTGCGTCAGACGACGATGTTAAGCAACGTTGCCGTAGTTACAACAATTTCAAATTCAAGACATTTGAAGCAATCAAATTCGTATTAAATTTTAAAAATAAAACAGAGAAACATGAAAGGAAATAAACAAAACAAAAATGAATTGATTATTCGTCGGGCTGTTTTCGATGTATTGAATTCTGAATTACGATAAACATTTTAGAAATTTCTTTTCTGTGACCTTATCAATAACCAATTCATTTGTGTTTTGTTTGTTTCCTTTCATGTTTTTCTGTTTTATTTTTAAAATTTAATATGAATTTGATTGCTTCGAGTGTCTTGAATTTGAAATTGTTGAAACTACGGCAACCTCGCATGACGCAAGCTCGACACGGCGGCGCGACAAAGGAGTAGTTACCAGTGATGCGCCGCTCTCTTGGCCGACGGCCGACGCGACGCGACGGTTGGGCTGTCCGTGGAATTGTTGAAATACATAGAAATAATAGCGAGAAAACAAAATACGTATTTAAAATTGTTGAGTGAAACATGTATTTTCTTAGATTGAACGTAGTTCGGAAAGTGGCGGTAAGAGACAATAATTCTCAACATTTATTCATTCAGAAAGGTAATCAAAGTAATGTGTGCTTTTCAAGGTGTTTTGTAAATCAGTGGTTCAAATTGTGATGATGCCTATATGAAAATAATGTGTTAAAAACGGGGACTGTTATTTTAGTAGTTATTATAATAGCATGTACAAGTAAAGCAGCACAGTGAAGTGTATTTTAGTTAAGTGAATATCGAAAAAGAGAACTGTCACAGTTACATCGATCTGTCATAAGTATCTCTGGTATTAATGTTGGGTAAGTTTTTTAATCTAACTTTTTTAACATATTTTTAACACATTATTAAACATTTAACATTTAATTTATTTTATGTAATGATATCACAATCTTAAAAATGTAATGCATCCCTGCAAACTACTCAGGTGTTGTGATTTTATGACTTACTTTTAACATATACTTTTTTGTCCCTATGGCAACACAGTGCGTCGAATTAACTGAAATCCGGGCTTGATCCGGGTAATTGGATGTAGTTGGCGGTATCTGCCGGCGGTTCTCAAAATGTTGCGATTATTTTTTTAAATTTTCAAAGTTAAATAACTTGGTTATTTTCAATTTATTTTAAAAATGGTAAAGAGAAAATATGTTTATTTTGATCAGATCTACCACCCTTTAAAATATCTGCACTCATTTCTGGGACACCCTGTATAAATCAAAGAACTACTTCTTTATTTTTCTTGATAAAATAATAAATACTTACTTATGAAACTATTGTAGGTAAATTAAATAAAAGTAAACTGTTATAAAATTAATTAAAGTCCATAAACTAATAATGTCTAATCTAATAAATTTTGAAGATAGCTACTAACTGTCACTAGCAAATTGTCATGGCGACACCAGCCGTCTTGATTTGGTTTGGCTATTTTATTGAAAAATCGATTTTTATTCAAAATCTAAGCCAGGTTTAGGAAACCCTAATATAGTTTGAAATAAAAAGTTTTTATGTAAAATAAATATATAAAATAGACCAATTTAAACTAATTTGTTTTTAAACTTGATATTTCGTTAATTTTTATTAACTTCTTCAGGAGTAACTACAATAATAAATACAAAGAGATGAGATTAATTCATATCATTAGACAAAAAAAGGGAGATATTGGGCACCAGGCATGTACAGAGAAAGAAAACACAGTTGTATATTACTTAAAACTAATGACTATATTTCAGGATGTTCTTTGCTGGTACATGACATTGTAGAATTCTAATAAATATATAGTGGTTATATGTCAAAAAAATAGTGTTAAGAGTTGTACTAAATATCTATGAAAGTAATACCATTCCAAGACGTAATGTAATGAAACCTAAGATCTAAATCATATTTTAAATATTAAATCGACATGAATGTTCTTAACAATCTAACCACTAAACATAGTCTGTACGATATTACTTAAGATGTACGTTATTGTTTAAGACTGAAAATGTTTTAAATGTTAAATGTAAAACTAGAACTTATATCTACACTTAGCTGTTCTTTATGTAATCTTGCTTCAAACAGTAACAGCGTGAGGTGGGCTCGCATCTCTGTACTGTCTGTCGGCGATCCTGTTGGCCAAAACAACAAAAGGGGCCAGAATGAGGACACCATGAATCAATACAGCCGTAGCTACTGACTAGGCTTAGATATGGGAGCGAAGCAGCATGGGGCTTACGCTGTATCCATACTGTGGCAATATGGGGACAATACCCATACCTTGAAACACTACTAGGGCCTTGGATAATGCCCGAACCTTGGAATCAATACATAGATATGGGACACCTGCCCATACCTTGGACACAGTCGGTCCATAAGATAACGGTACAGGGGAACACTACCCGTACCTTGGACACAGTCCGTCCATAAGACCCTAAAAATACGAAACTCTTGTTTAAAACCGAACAAGGTCTAATAAACAAAATAAACCTACCTCGAAACACTTCCGAGGGCTCAATAATAAACAAAAGAACTGTCCTTTCTTCCATTTAACATTCTGGAGGACAACAGCAAAAGTACACCAATGTGTCAGCAAAATATAAATACGAGTTAAGGTGGGCCAATCCAAAACCCTACCCTAAAAATATTCAATAATAATATCGAATCTATAAAAGATAATAACTCATCTTTACCGGTAGCTTCGAAATGGCAGCCGATTCAGATTTTGCAGCAAGATTTAAATTGCCATTTCTAAAAGCAGTATTTGCAACCGTGCCGCAAACTGGCCAAAAAGTGAGGTTAAAACGCAGAGAGGCGCCTTGACACATATACGTATTACTTTTTACAAATATACTCAGCCTAATCTCCAAAAAGTGAAGCCCAAACAGTGAAAGAACAATATGGAATTCTGCATAAGTCTATTTCACCCGGATATTCATTTAACTGAGCATGCCTCACCTGAAGAAGTTTTCATTGGTCGATGCTTTTAAAGGGAAGTGGTTGACTGACATTTCCCCTAACCTTCAATTTTATTTATATTTTTATTATTTATAACACATTATCATGGAGTTGGAAAAATATCAAAAATAGTTGGAAACAATAAACTAAACAAAATCACTCTTTTACGCGCACAAATAAAAAGTAATCCAAACAGAACTAAAACAACAATCAATCGGAGTTTGGCGCAATCGCAGTTCAATCCATATCCGGGTGAAATAGACTTATGCAGTTTTAATATGGAGCTGGGTTATGTTGTCTTTTTCTTACGGCACAGAAATTGCACACGGAGTTAAATAGGGAACCCTGAGTATATTTGTAAAAAGTAATACGTATATGCCTTGACATATAACAAGGATCTTGACAGCGCGCACCTCCACAGAACAGTGAAACGATAGCAGGGTTGCTGACTAGAGAACGTAAAAATTACGCCAAGCGCGTCAAATAAACTATCCGGTCTGAACGAGAGGAAATCCGGTGATGATAGGCCCCAGACATCATATATTATATATAAAAAAGACATGTAACGAACTAAAAACGTTACATCATTTTACCGATTTAACTTGCAGATCATCATGATTTAAGTCAAAAATATAGACTTAAGTCATAAAAACGACTTAAATAACGTTATATTGATTTAAGTCTGTACAAAAATGACCTGACTTGAAATAAAATGACTTAAATCAAAGACTTAAATCTTTTGAACTCTATGTTGAATTTGACTTAAGATTTAAACCATTTTGATTTTAGAAATGATTTAAGACTTAAATCTTTTTAAAACTGACTTGTTGCAGCTCTGATTATGAAATATAGCAACAGTTTTAATCCGATTTTCAGTATCATGTTTTTGTGTAATGTGGTTAATCTGAGTACTTTTTATTTTAAGTTATAATAGTTGAATGAAATTAATAAAGTTTCTTGTTCGTTTGCAGGTTGTGTTGTCGGCTTGTTCTGCGTACTTCAGGGCGCTGTTCGTGGACCACCCCGCCCGCCATCCCATCGTCATCCTCAAGGACGTGCGCTTTAGCGACCTGCGCACCCTCGTCGAGTTCATGTACAAGGGCGAGGTGCGTGTGGAGTACGCGCAGCTCAGCAGGCTGCTCCAGACGGCGGAGAGTCTCAAAGTTAAAGGTGCGTATCACTGACTAATGTCATACCGTCGGCTTTATGACGAAAAGGTATCTCGACTTTTGGCGATTTTGAGATATCAACGTCATGACATGCTCAATGGGTCATATTTTAACATAGCGAATTTGCGCATCTGAATATTGTACCTTTTTCATTTTATATTCGTTTAAAAATTTGCCTCATCTCAAATACTACAATTCTTCGTTATGACGAAGAGACGTATGTTGAGATAGGGCTCCTTGTTATATCAATTGTTATACTACAAGAAAGATGGAATTTGAGATAGGTCCTTTTGTTTTAAGTTATGAAAATGCATGCGAGAGAAAATCACACCATTCTACCTAATTATTTTCTTATGGTTGCTTGAGACAAAATAAAACTTCTATCATTGCGGCAGCTCTCTTTTACAGTGTGATTCTGAGTCTGTTTTTTTGCCAAAAGCCATTGTTAGAATGAGCTAGACTCTGCACATAGCTGTATCGGGTATGCAAAAGATTCTCCGAGAATAAATGGCCAAAGAAAAATTGATCGAAAGCGAAACGACGAAACGAAAATTGCCCTAATGGAAAAATTCCCGCAATTATAATGTCCCTAAGAACATTTTAACGAACCAAAAACTTGCCAGAAAAATACTATAATTTTTATCTCATTATCATTGTCAGGCCATTGGCATTGTCATCCCCGTCAATTTTTGGAAAATTTTATTTATTGTGCCTATCATTATCCTGCATAAACACGTAGAATGGAAGTCGAATTTGTTATCATTGAACAGGGAAAACAGAAACAGTTAGTCCACAGTTATTTGTATCAAAGAGGCACGAATGAAGAAACATGTTTTGTTTTTGTGTAGTTTGGTTTTTATTAAATGGACCGTGAGTTTAAAATGCCTTGTATTAATGCCCTTAATTAACTGAATAATTACTAAAAATATATTAGTTAAAAAATGTATTTTTGTATAAAAAACAATATTATTAAAATAAGCTAGATAAGTGTATTTTAATTGATTATTATCTTTGCTTCTAGAATGAAAATTGTCTTTGTTTTCAGTTGATCTAATCCAACGCGAATAAAAGTATTTAAAGATATTTGTTTCTGATTTTTTGGTGATTTTCAGATTTTTTTCTGTATGTATTCCATAATGTGAATATTGTATATTTTTTTCCTTATTAAGAACACTTTACAATCATTTTTAAATTTATTTTACATGGACGTATGTATACTATTCGTTCGGAAATAAATTTATTATTATTATAACAAAAAGGCCTATCTCTATTAAACAACTAAAAAGAAATTATTTATTAGAATTTACGCACAATTTATCTTCAGAACGTTTCCTCAATGTCTCCGTTTAAGTGTTAATACAAAAACACTATTAAAAAATTAAAGACTTTACATTTATTGGCCAAATAAAGTTAGTGATTTTCTTACTTTATTTGGCCATTTCTTACTTTTTTATTGCTCTCCTGAAAAGTAGCAAAAATCGAGATACGCCTTTTCATCATAAAGCCGACGTTACTATAGTTTGTCCAACAAAAAAATCTTCGACAGTGATAGTCTTTCATTTTAATTTCAAAGTACTTCATTTAATTTCACAAATATATAAGTTGGTATACAATTGTTAAGCAGGATTAATATGCTTAAAACTTTAGTGACAAATTAATACTTAAATTATGAAAAACAATCGAGTTATTTTGTTTAGAAAAAATGATGAAATGTGTGTTAATGCGAAGCAAACAGAAAAATTACAAAAAATAATGTACAAAAAATACTTAAGTACAGGGTGGGTCAAATTAGACGCTTTTAAAGGGAAACACCATTTTCTATAGGAGATAGACGAAAACTAATATCGGTGTCTGAGTTCAATTTTTGTTAAAAACATGATGGTGAAAACCGCACATCGATATCTGTTACCGTTTCGGAGTTACGGGGTGTTTTTCAAAAATGTACATTTTTAACAAATCGCTGTAACTTTTTTGCTATGGAAAATTTTATATTTTTCTGAAAACATTTTCAAATCATCTTTTTGGTTCAATCATTTCACCTCAACGGTTCAAGTATATTTTTTTCAGTACAGAAAATACATCAGTACAGAAAATACATTGAGCCGGCCATCACAATTTATTAAAATTTTAAACTGTATATGTTAATTATTGTGTCATGTGGGTGATATTGTATGAGTATAATTTTAAGTTAAATGTTATGTGTTATCACCTGTTATTTTATGCATCCATGGTTTAATACAAGTTTGACGAAGGAAATGTACGTTTTTTGGCTTTGAAAAAGGTTAAAACTGGACCGAAACGTTAGTTATATAATAAACACTTCCTAAACCCAGAAAAAGTTTAATATTGACCAAAAGCCAAGAACCCTATAAATAAAAAAAAAGTAAATTTTTTTTAAATTGATAATTTAAAAGTTATTAACAGAAAAATAAATTATTTGGGACACCCTGTATATTTTTAATTAAGTGAAAAGAACTTAAAATTACCTTTCCAAAAATATATAGCACACTTGACATTTTGTTATAGTCCCCTTGGAAATACAGAATTTTTATAAGTTTGCCACTTTTAACTAGTAGGCTTTGGACCCCTTACTGATGATCTGCCCCTAATGGAACTCGAAAACATATTTTTCCAGCAAAATGAGGTACCGCCTCAGAACGCTGAAATTACCAGCAAATTTTTGCAGCCAATTTCGAGAATAATTGAATAGCTAACCAAGATTCCAGCCGTTGGCCGTGGAGGCTACCGGAATTAGTGCCTGTTATCCTTAGTGGATTTTTATCTTTGCGGAAGAATAAAGGTTCTTATATTTAAATTGCCCGTATAATCTAGACAAGAATTAGAAGTACTTAGTGGTTATGCGAGGGTATCTTTCATCCCCACTGAGTTAATGAATTTCTCAAAAAATGTTCAAAAACGGTCCCGTCTGTCCATAATAGAAGACGGTCGACATATCAACACCTGTAGCAAAACCTTTTTATTGTTATTATATATAATTTAAATGTGTTGATGTTGGTAAATATAGATTAAATTGTTATAAGATTTTGCAACTCTCATTGCAAATATTATTTTCATTCTAACTGCTGCTCACAGCTAAAATTTTTTTGCATTACAGCCGGTGCCGTTCAAAGCCTACTTACTATTTAAAGTAGGCGAATTTTTAAATACCCTATATTTCCATGAGGAATCGAGCACAATATCAAGTATGCTATATTTTTGGTAAGGTAAGGTAATTTTAGATTCTTTTCAATGAACTAAAAATATACAGGGTGTCCCATATAAAAAATCAAATTTTCTGTTGATAATTCTTAAATTATTTATATTAAAAAAAAAGTATACTGAAACCATTAAATCCTACGTAAAAATGTGCATTGGAAATGTTTTCACAAAAAAATGCACATTTTTGAAAAACTTGCAACTCCGAAACGGTAACAGATATCGACGTGCAGTTTTCACCATTATGTTTTTGATAAAAAATGAGTTCCAGACACCGATATTAGATTTATCTCCTATAGAAAAAGGTGTTTTCGTTTAAAAGCGTCCAATTTGACCCACGCTGTACAAATAAAAAAGTTTTAATATTAATTCGATTTTCATTTCCAGGTTTAGCCGAAATGACGCGCGAATACAAACCGGAACCTCCCGAACAGACCGAACCCGAAGAACTGGTGAATCGCAGGCCGCCTTCGGCCGGTGGTGGTTCCCTGCCGCCCTCGGCCGCCTCCCCTACCCCTCGCAACTCACCGCTGGCGCCCACTCTGATCCCTCAGCCGCCCCCGACACGGCAGTCGCCCGAGCCTGCCTCCGCTCCCAGGCCGCCTTCGCAGAACGGGTCGCCCGACCCGCCTCCGCCGCCTCTGGTGCCGTCTTTGAATAGTTTCGGACCGCCGCCAGCGTCGGGAGCGGGCGTCGGTCGCCCTTCGCCGCCTCCGATCAATTGCGCCGAGCCGGTGCCTGGTCCTTCGAATATGCCGCCTGTCCAACAAGTGCCCTTGGTAAGTGTGTTTATTATACAGGGTGTCCCAGGCCGAGCCTGCATTAGAAGTTTCTAGAGAACTATAATATAACTAATATCTAGATTGGAGATTTTATTTACTTCATTGTTTCACAACGAGATCTATCGATCACAAAAACTTTCAATATGGCGGCACTTCCGGAAATACCGGAAGTTGACAGCAACTTTCTTATTTTAAATGGGTACCCCCATTTTTTATTACATACCTACTTAAATTCTCTGTAAACTTTTATGAATTTTGATATGAAACACTCTATACCTAGCATTAACCGTGTTTGAGAAAAAAATATTCAAAAAAAAACAAAAAATATACCCTTTGAAACTAAATCTTAATCAGCAGTTTTTTCCATTCAAAAATTTTAAATATTGTTTTTCTCAAAAACGGTTAATGTTCGGTATAGAGTATTTGATATCAAAATTCATAAAATTTGGCAGAGAATTTAAGTATGTAATAAAAAATGGAGGCACCCATTTAAAATAAGGAAGTTGCTGTCAACTTCCGGTATTTCCGGAAGCGCCGCTATATTGAAAATATCTTTAATCGATAGATCTCGTTGTGAAACAGTGATGTGCAAAAAATCTGCGATCTAGATATTGTAGTTGTCTAGAAACTTCTAATGCACGCTCAACCTGGATCACCCTGTATATACACTCACAGTCACGAAAAACTTTATTTTTGTTCTAGTGTACCGATTTTGATGATTTTTTATGCAATTTGTAGATAAATTAATATTTGATTTTTTAGTTCTTCTAAAATAATACTTGTTTATTCTAAAATAGAAATGAAAGATCGCATCTGTCAATAATTATTATACGAGAAAAAAATGCAAAAAAGCAAAATATTGATATTTTGGTGAATGTTTAAAACACCCTGTGGAACACCAGCAAGGAATTCAAAAATAATATGTGTCCTATTTATCAAGGTATTATTACTTTTTACTTTAATGAATAATTCATAATATGTCATTCTGAAATCAAATTAATTATGAAGTTTATGGTTGCTAGGGTAATTGAAAGATTCCAAACATTCGATCTTTTGTTGTCATCTAATGTCAAATTTTTGCCTCAATTCTTGTAAAATGATGGAAAGTGATCAAGAAACCGAGTGTTTCCCAGCAGAAATTGAAGAAGCGGCTAATAGAATTGCTTTTGATTTATTACCCAGCAAGTCCAAGGATCAGTACGAGTTTTCATAGGTATAATCGATTTTTGAGATGATTTTTATTTGATTATTATTATCGCTTCAGTGTTAAAAGTAAACCACGTGACTAACTTTTAGCACCAGTGCTAAAAGTAAGTGACTTTTACCATCAGTTACATAATGTCACATTTTAGGCACTGACAGCATGCGTTAAAATTACATTTTTACTGACGTTTGTAGAAAAAATAATTTTCAAATTCCATGCTTTTTTAACATATTTCACAGGATGTTGCTGCAACCAAACATGCAGCCAAATACCAATATTATGTGTTCCCTCGTTGACAGATGGGAACTTTCATTTTTAATATACAGGGTGTTCCTTAATGTCATGCTAATATTTAAAGGGGTGGATGTTGGACCTATTCGAAGAAAAAAAACTTCATAGAATGTATTTGATGTATATCCTAAAGATCTTAAATTTTGAGATACTGGGTGATAAAAATTTTCTTAAATAAACTTTTTTCATAATATTAACTCTGATGTTAATATAGGTATTTATGATATTTGATACAGATCCTCTATGCATTAAAATTAATTTTTTTGATATACAAAAAATAGTTTGTTTTTGTTGTTGGTATCTTAATTTTCTTCCTTCCATGAATGTATACTGATGTAGAAAGGATTTCTACACAACAATCATTAGAGACTTTTTAAGCCCCTTATTCGATCAGCTTTATACGTTATCCGTTATTTAGAGCATGCGCATTGATAAAAAAATAAGGGATTACCCTATTAATGGATATCGTTTGCCGCTATTTAGGTTCAAATAAACGGTACGCTATTACGGGATACATTTTAGCATGGTTGCCAAGTGTAATACTTATCTGGATTATAATGAAAGAAGAAAAAAAAAAGAAAACTGCTACAAAAGGGTAACAAATAATACGTAAAATAGTTCCTAAATATATACTTTTTTGTAGTCTTCTTTTGTCCATCAAAATAATATAACCAACATATTTGAGTGACAAAAATTGGCAACGCCAAGATGTAGTGTCCAAGTTGATCGTTGACACTTGACATCTTGACATTTGCAAAATTTAACGTTAAAGTTTGATAGATGATGTGTTAAATAAACGGTTCAAAATCTAAAATGACAGTACCTGGCCAACAAATGTTGTCGGCTATTTGTCACAAACTGCGCATATTGATCAGTATAACGTTTAGCGTTTTACGTCATTTACCAAATAGGCGACCTAAAAACTCTCTATTGTATCAGATTTTTAGCGATTTGACCGTGAAGCAAAATGACTTTAATTCTTTTATGGAATAACCATGCCAGAAAAAAAACCAGAGGTGAAAATTGTTTAGAAAAGAATAAAGATTTTGAAAATAATGTTTATTTTAAAACAAGTCAGTAGCGTACCGTTTTTTCTAAAAAAAATATGCATTATAAAACCCGCATGGACGCCATGGACGGCACTGATTAAAATAAATAAATATTTTTATACGTTAAAAAAGACATATTGATCCATAGAAAACCAGTATCAAATCAAAATATAGTATCATCATAATCGGTCCACTAGAACACAATATACAGGGTGTCTCAAAAAACATGTGCTATCTCCCTCAGGGAGATTCCTCATGTACAGGGTGGATCAAATTCGACGCTTTTAAATGGAAACACCCTTTTCTATAGGAGATAGACGAAAACTAATATCGGTGTGTGGAGCTCAATTTTCATCAAAAACATGATAGTGAAAACCGCACATCAATATCTGTTACCGTTTTGGAGTTACGGGGTGTTTTTCAAAAATGTGCATTTTTAACAAATCGCTGTAACTTTTTTACTATGGAAAATTTTGTATTGCTATGAAAACATTTCCAAAGCACCTTTTTACGTAGAATTTAACGGTTTAAGTATATATATTTTTTTAATTAATAATTTAAGAGTTATCAACAGAAAAAATGATTTTTTATTTGGGACACCCTCTATATTTTTAATTACCTGAAAAGAATTTAAAATTACCTTTCCAAAAATATAGCAGACTTGATATTTTGTTATAATCCCCTTCGAAATACAGAATTTTTAAGAGTTCGCCTCATTTAACTAGTAGGCTTTGGACCCCTTATTGATGATATGCCCTTAATGGAACTTGAAAACATATTTTTCCAGCAAGACGACCCACCGCCTCTGAACGCTGAAGTTATCAGCAAATTTTTGGAGCCAATTTCAAGAATAATTGAATAGCTAACCAAGATCCCAGCCGTTGGCCGTCGAGGCCGCCTGACTTAGTGCCCATGGATCTATTCCTATGGATCTATTCCTATTTGCGGAAGAATAAAGGTTCCTTATTCTTCCGTATTCCGTATAATCTAGACAAGAATTAGAAATACTTAGCAGTTATGAGAGGGTATCTTTCACCCCCACTGAGTTAATGAATTCCGCGAGAAATATTCAAAAACTGCCCCGTCTGTCCATAACAGAAGACGGTCGATATGTCGAACACCTGTAGCAAAATCTCATGTCTTGGTTTGCTACTCGGTTTGCCATTTATTTTTATTGTTATTAGATATAGTTTAATTGTGTTGATGTTGGTTAAATATATTTTAAATTGTTATAAAATTCTGCATCTCTCATAGCAAATATTATTTTCGTTTTAATTGATTCTCACAGCTAGAATTTTTTTGCATTAGAGCCGGTGCTGTTCAAAGCCTACTTATTTAAAGCGGGCGCATTTTTATATACTCTATATGTCGAAGAGGAATCGAGCAAAATATCAAATGTCTTGTATTTTTGAATAGATAATTTTAAATTCTTTTCAATAAATCAAAAATATACAGGGTGTCCCATATAAAAAATCAAATTTTCTGTTGATCATGAATTTTAAAATTTGAATTTTAAAATTCCAAAAAAATGAATACAATTCTTTACACATTTTTTCGAATATTTGAGCAGTGTATATTTATGTGTCAAGTATTTTGACATGTTAAGGTTATTGTGACATTGAATAAAACAACTCTGCTTTTGACAAAGTGGGAAATAAATTTTTCAGAACGTCATCGTCAGCATGACATGAATAGAGAAATAGGGGACTGGTATCATAGAATATACTGCCCGAAATAATAAAAATATGTTTTAAATCGTACTCAACTTTATTGGAACCAGCTGTACCTGTTTTTCGTGCCGGTGAGTGTAGTTTTTATTTCCAAGTTCTACATATATCTTTTTTCAGAGTCTGAAAAAAGAAGTTGATTGGGGAGGAGGAATGGACGACAAAAATTCAGGAGGTGAAAGTTCCTCGGATTATTCCCGACTGCCTCACGATTCGGTAAGTCAATTACTGAAAAAGTCTATATGGTTCATTCAAATCATATTAACAATCAATATTTTTGTATCTATCCTACTGTTTCAACATGTTTATTCAGTCACACTATATATCCTGCAGCGTTGCCTGTAAATATTGAACGTACGTCTTCAGATTCACGCCGAACGTGGCGTAATGTTTGAATAAACCCATTAAGGTGATTAAAATTTGATTATGTACTGACTGTCTCGCTCTACAAGCAAATTTAGTGAGTGCTTCTTGTAATTAAGCATTCAATAATTTAAACTATTTATCGTTTCGGCGTATTATGTTCGCGTTGAAGTACAAATTAGTTTGAACATTAAATATACACTGTGTACCAAATACGTGAATATTTATAATGTGGATCTCGTAAATCAGAAATGATACAAATGTGATTAAATCAGAGAACATTTGCAATTTGCGGAGCTGTAGTAAGGTTATCATTGGGATTATTAAAAGGTAACTTTGGCTCAATTTTAAACCATCCTGTATCTCTTACCGTTTCCGGGATCTCGTTGGTGAGAGAGGATTTTTAAACACTCTGTATCCAGGGTCCGGCAATAGTGCGTCGGGCATCTGTAGCTCCTATAATAAAAAACTTAGGAATTTTGTATAAGTGCAGACCTAAAGTATGTATTAGAATATATCTCAGGAAAATATTTTAACTTCTACCGGGTGGCTAAAAAAGTGTGAGTGGATCGCGAGGATTTTTTTAAAATAGAACACTGCATATTATTGTATTTGTTTCCTTTCTGATCACTTTACATAATCCTAAAATATTATTAAATATGTTTAGATATTAATAAATAAATAAAAACATATTTTTTTCTGCCTTTTTAACTTTTTTTAAAATACAAAAAATGTCCTGAAATCAAAACTATACTAGGTACTAGGTATTTACCATACAGGGTCGTTGATATGTATGGGAACGGTCGATTATTAGATAAAATATAAGAGGTACCGCAAAAAGTTAAATATAAAAGTTATAGGGTTTTGAAATATCTATTAGCGGGTAATAAATTTAAGTATACAGGTTCGGTCATAAAGACGTAGTACATCAAAGTTTCATTTTTTTAAATGGGACCCCTGTATATTATTGCATATTTTATTCATTTTACGTTGACTTGATTTTTCTTAAAATAATCGCTTCAGTGTTAAAAGTAAATCACGTGACTTACTTTTAGCACCAGTGCTAAAAGTAAATGACTTTTACCATCAGTGACATAATGTCACATTTTAGGCACTGGCAGCATGCGTTAAAAATTATATTTTTACTGACATTTGTAGAAAAATATATTTTTTTATTTATTTATATTTCTGAAAATATTAAAACATATTTAGTAATATCTTAGTATTTTGTAAAGTGATCAAAAAGGAAGCCAAAAATGCACCAATATACAGGGTGTTACATTAAAAAAAATAATTTCGGTCCACGCACACTTTTTTGAGTTTAAAATATTTTCCTCAAATACTACGATATATTTTTTACTATAGGACTTACAGATGCCCGACTCACTATTGCCGGACACTGTATAACAATGGTCTGTTCTGAATTATTTCGCACCGATTTTATAAACACCCTATATACCATCGCTGACTCTAACCGATCGCTGTCTGTGTGTGTGTTCGGGCGCGGCGGCAGCCCGGGTCGCCCCCCATTGGCCGACACGAGCGTCAACTTCTTGTCTTCGGGGGGGCCGCCCCGCGCCGCGCACCCACACACGCGCCACAAGAAGTTGATGTTTTTGTCGGTTTCAGGAGCGACCCGGACCGCCGCCGGAGCCCCCCAACATCGGCCAAGATCCCACCTGCTCACCGCCACGGCTCTTCTCCTGCATCTACTGCGGCAACACCTTCCCCCACCAGAGCAAGCTCACCCGCCACATCCTCAGCCACAGCCTGGAGACCCTCAAGTACCGGGACCAGCGAGGAGTCGTTCCCCCGTCACCTTTGATCATCCCGGAACCGCCTACGTCCGCCTGGGGGGATCCCAGAGGTGGTGGCGAGCCTCCCGATCCCACAGATCAACCGCCTACCGCCATGGACCTGGACGAAGCCACGGCGGGAGCCACGACGCCTGGAGGTGTTGTTTTGTGCAAGTTCTGCGGGAAGTCGTTTCCGGACGTGGCGGCATTGATAGCGCATCTTCCGGCGCATACGGGGGATAGGCCGTTCAAGTGCGAGTTTTGCGGGAAGGCGTTCAAGTTGCGGCACCACATGAAGGACCACTGTAGGGTGCACACGGGGGAGAGACCGTTCGGGTGTAGTTTGTGCGGGAAAACGTTTTCGAGGTCGACGATACTGAAGGCGCACGAGAAGACGCATTTTCCGAAGTATCTGCGCAAGTTTCCATCGCCGAACCCGCTGGATACCGAGGAGGAGAGTCCGCATTAGCAGGGACTGTGCGGAACCGCGCGCGCTCGGTTGAGGTTAAAGCAATATGCGTAGGAAAGACGGTGCACGGCTCGAAACGAGAAACTAAACATCTCGATTAGAGTACAGATGTCATCTGGACATAGTTTGGTACACATAGTCTTTTTGAAAAGTTTATCGCTCCTCTAACTTTTTTATTTTTTCAAACAAATTAATAATATATTGTTTTATTAGGAGTAAAAATGACACTTTCCGTGGCGAGGCTGTACGTTTGACGAGCGTTAGCGAGTCCGACATACCGGCGATCCAAAAAAAGTCATTTTTACTCCGAATAGGACATTTTTCAAACGCCACAAATATTTTTTTATACAATTTCAAACGTTCCAAATAATATAAAAATATTTAAAGTCATACCTTGTATGTAATTATCGACAAACTATGGTTACGCTCGTTGAATTTGACACTTTATGTCAGTTTAATAATATATTTTCATACTTTTATGCTTAGGCGTTAAAATGACTTTTTGTGAAAGCGTTTCTTCTTCTTTCTTCTCAAACTCTCCTTTTCAGGAGAGAGAGTTGCGTTGCCTAGGCTGCCAGGACCATTCTGGCAAAGTACTTTTCTGCTTTTCTTTTTTCTTTTTTAACAAATCCAGTAGTTTTCAAAATTTCAGCAAAAAATAATTTTTTGTGAAAGCGTTTCGAAATTGACAGTTTTTGATATTTATTTCAGATTCAAAATGACATTCTTTTAGGCACTAGTATCTAAAAGTGACACTTGTTTAGGCACTAGTGCCTAAAAGTAAAAAATGAAACGTTAGAAACAACGAAAATCATTATTTATTATAAATCTTAAAGGTACAATTATTTAAATTATTAAACTGAATACAAGAGGCATCCAGCTTTTCGTCTCTAAGAGAAATGCAAGTTGTAGGAGTCGGAATAAGTAAATTTCTTGTACTGGCAATGCCGGTAGCTTCTACTCCTACGTGAACTGCTTTTAATTTCTTATTTAGCGTATCTTTCCGTCTCATGATTCTTTTTGCTATTTCGGTTTTCTGTTCAATTGAATTTTCAATGTAACCTTCAGCAATCGAGCTTGATCGCCAACCTCCACGTCGCTTTAAAACTGTTATGTCCGCTCCTGAACCTGCCAGTATTGTTGCAGAGCTGCGCCAGGAACAACGACCAGTGTATTCAATCGCACTGGAGAGTCTAAAAATTCCGTTGTCTTTTTTGGCATATCCCCAATTGTATTGATTCCAACTGGCAGGGTACAGCATTGATTTTTTCAATACGTCAAGAAAAATGATGTGTCACATTGAGTTGGTTAGGTTGTACGAAGTTTTGCGTACTTACGAAATACCTACATGTAAGAAATTGATACCATCTATTGGTCCCTCAGTAATCGTAAACACTCTTGGAAAATGAGTTTTTGTATTCGGAATCTTCACACAAATAAATGACTGACAATCTTTAATGGCATCTACGGTCAAAAACGTGATTTCTCCCCTCCTATATGCCCCAAATACTCCAACGATTTAGACAACTTTAGCTAACAGGAATTCTTTGTCATCGGCTTCTTTCATAAAGCGCTCTATTTCCAGTTTTGTAAATACTTTTGATTTCTTTGCCTGATATCGGGAAGCTTCTCTTTTTAAAAATGCAATAAGGTTTGTGAATTTGCTAATATCTGCGTTTCTGTTCAGGTAAATCACGGTGCGGAGCATCGAATATAATCGCTAATCTATAAATCGCTAATATCAGGAAATAGGCTAGCAATACCTTTTCTATGAAATTCTCAACATTCTCTGACCCAGGTGTCAAAGTTAAATAAAAACACTAAATCACCACAATACACCAAAATACTTTTACTTTTACACTGGACGCGCGTTTCGCTAACAATGTTAGCATCATCAGCAGATGATTATAAACTCTCAGTCTGCTGATGATGCTAACATGGTTAGCGAAACGCGGGTCCAGTGTAAAAGTAAAAGTGTTTTGGTGTATTTTGGTGATTTAGTGTTTTATTTTGCTGTGTAACACCAAAGGTTCCGACCCTCAACTGTAATTGTCAAAGTTGTAGTAGGTCGTCTCGTATAAGTTTTTCGACTTCTCGGGCACTAACGTGGATAGCGCAGTTTCAGCGGCTTGTTGAATATCCAAAGACTCGTCATTATCACTCATTTTTTCACAAAACTTTAGATTAAATACGGCGACGTTTGAACCTGACAGAACTTTGTCATTAAACAATGCATAAACAATGCCTTGGAAACCGATTACCAGAACATTTTAAAAAATGTTTAAAAATAAATAATAATAATAGCATGAAAATCTCAAATTATCCGCTTTCACAAAAAATCTTGTATGAAATTCGTTGCGAAAAGAGTGTTTTAAGCACTGGATGCATTGTCCAATTTTGCGTCCCTTATTTCGCAACTTTTTACATAAATAGCTATTTTTATATTGTCAATCACGTCACAAAATTTAATATTTTTGTGGCGTTTAAAAAAATATTTATTATTATTAGTATTTTTGAAAATTTTCTTTATATGTATATAGTGTGTACATATGTCAATATATATTATAACAAAAATGTTTGAAGTATCT